CAGCTATGGCTACAATCAAGAAGCAGAATACAGCAATACCTAACAGTACTGTGTGCAAAGACTGATTCTCTCTCTCTCCAGGGTACACTGCATCCACTTAAAAAACAAAGGGCAATAGAACTTTGGTCACTCCTAGATGACAGAGCCATCCCACATGGAAATGCATTGCTCTAGAAAAGCAAAGACAGGTAGATGCAGTATGATTGGACTACCTGGCACATAAAAAAGAACTAATTATTTGTGAACCTCACTCCTGGACAGAAGCAACAACCTCGCAGCTGTGTTTTCCCTCCTTAGTGAACAAATGTCTGAATGTTTCTCCACACTGCAGGAACGATTTTAGGTGCTGGGTCCTAAGACTGATGACAATTGGCCCTGCCTGCCCTAATTAAGCTTACAACTTTGGAAACTAGGTATACTGACAATACACAGATGAGCGTGTTATGAACTAGGCTGACGTCAGTGTCACCTTCCACTCCATTTGTAGGAACCAGGGCTCTAATTTCCCCTTTGCCTGATCCTCTGCTGCATAATCTGTCTAATGGCCTTTCCTATGCCAACCCTTCCAGAAACTCTACATGCTGACAGACTTTATTGACTCCTAAGTAAATGCCTGCTGGCATCTCTCCATTTACCTCTTCCAAGATTCTCCAGCCCCATATCTCTGCCCTGCTAGCCTACCTAGATATCCATTCTTCTTGCTGTTCTTCTGACCCCACAGTCTCCAGATTTCTGTGCTCTGGTATGTGAGTTCCCCATTAAGTGTAAAGAGGAAACCAAGCTCACAATCAGAAGACTATTTGGAGGGCTGGAAATTGGTGGCCACTTAGAGGTTGAGGTCACTGAGGGCCCATCCTCGTGGTCAGGCTGCTCTGCATGGCCCGAAGCAGTCAACTGGACAGTTCTGGAGAAACCGATGGTTTGTGCTTCTGATCTCATAGTTCTAGACTCCACCATTTTTCTTCTTTCCACAATTCATAAGGTTCTAGCTTTCTCTTACTTTCAGTAATGCTTTGACTAAATTAGCTCTTCATTTTAACTTCTTCTTAATTTGTTCTTTTATTGGACAAGTGTGACCTCAGAATTCCACAAACAACTAACATTATCTATTAGTGTAGATTTAGCTGGTTATCAAGTGAGAAAAAAGGGAAAAGGATGACAGACAGACAGACAGGGAGATTTCCTTTCTGCACCCTATTGTGCATGTAACAGTCCTGGGTTGGAGGTACATCTTGCTCTCCAAGGGCTGAAGTCATTTCTTATTCTCAGAACTGTGGGGTGCTGTCAAAAAGCAGTAGATGCCAGGAACACTGCTAAATATGAGGACAGCCCCACAACAACAACAACAATTATCCAGCCCAAAATGTCAGCAATGCTAAAGGTTGAGAATCTCTGGATTACAGTATGTTCAAAAGGCCAAGGTAGATTACATAACTAGTCCTCACTTGGGCAAAAGTTTACTTCAATTCTCTGAAATTATCAGTGACACCCCTAATTATCTGGCTGACTCATGGTTAAACTTCTGCTTGTGGGATTTCATACACTCTCACCTTAAAGTTCAAACAATTGCTCACTAACCAGTTATCCTTAACCACATGTGTATGGACCAGCTGGTGTGCATGCCTAATAGACATTTCTCAAGGGGCACACATGAAGGCTTGTTTAGGAGTTGTTGCCAACATCTGTAATGTTTGGTGTGCTGAGAGGGAAAAATGGCAGGAAGTAAAATGAAAGTAAAAAATCTTAAATGGAATGAAATTCCACGAGGCTTATCATGCCTTAAAAAATTTATGAGAATGCAAATAGATTCTCCTTTAGATGTGAAGCATGCCAGCATTGACGAGGACTCTCCTTCCTTCTGTTCTTGCCATCATCAGGAGCTATAAAAGGAAGGAAGAGGGAGCGTGAAAATGGGCAGGCTCTCTGGGCAGCATGGCCTTCTGCTCAGAGGTGCTGTGGAAAGAGACCAGGACGTGTTGCCACACTGGATCAGACCTTCCCTTTTCTTTTTAGTCATAGAAATGCAAGACTTGGCAGACTGGTCATCACTGTTATGATGGAGGGAGGGAGGGTGAGGGCTAGGACAGGATGGTGGGGACGCAGGAAGACAGTCTCTCATGAGGCCCTGCTGGGGCATGTGTGCATGTGCACATAACACATAATAATAAATTTTTAAAATCTGACTCTTCTGACTTCTTATATTAATGGTCTCCTCTTTTCTCCTTAATAAAAAAAAAAAAATTGAGAATGTGAGATCTAAAGTTGAGAATCTGAGCATGTGGATCTTACAGAGCCATACTGAGTGCAGGCCTGAGCACCAACTTTGACTGTTCGGAAATAGCCGTGGCAGGGTCTCAACCTAGGAGATTGTTAAGCAGATGACCTGAGCTAGAGAAATAAGTTTATAAGAACTGACTAGGAGAAAGGACATGTTTCAAATGAATGACAAAAGAAAAACTGAGTATGGATTTGTCATTTACGGGCAAGTACCAACTTATGAACTGGTAGTGTTCTTGAAAAATTCAATTGGCTACTGTAAGCAACAACAGCACAAGTTGAGTGGAGGGAGAGAGAAGTAGTTCACTGACTGCTGGACCTTCAAAATTTCATAGTCCACTGTTTATACAAAGGAGGAAGAAAATGGTTCAGGAAAGTTGATCATCTTGCTCATCACTCTGAGATTTAGGAACAAAGGTAGGTCTTGGGATTCCCCAGGCAGTCCACTAACCATGTCGTGTTGTCTACAAGCAGGAAAGCCACTGAAAACAATGATGGTGCAGAGCAGAGCGGTAAGAGGAGGGCTGTCCAGGTGACTGGGAGGCAGGAGGGAAAGGAGGAAGTGAAGGTGGTAGGAAAGGAACACTCCAGAAGAAAGGGTAGGAAGTGTGATGCCTGGTCTGGGTCCCGTCCTACCTACAGTAGACAATTTAGGTGCACTCTGAGTGGTGGCTTCCTATATGTGGAGGTTTGGTACCTGTTGTTTCACAGATGTGACATACAAGGAGAGAAATAGCCAACATGGAGTCTACAAGTTCTTCCCAAAATGTCAGCATCTCTCATTGCTGTTTTCTCAGCCCCCTGAAATTCATAAATTTATTCCACACATATTTACTGAACCCCTATCTTGTGTCAGGTACTGCCCCAGGCCACGTGACTATAGGAGTGAACAAGACAAGCAAGGTTCAGTTCCCCTGGAGTTCGCTTTCTAGTGAGACATAAAAAGTAAGCAAATACTTTTCCGTCTGGCTGCAGCCATTAGGTGAGCCAAGATGGGCGCTTACAAGTGCATCCAGGAGCTATGGAGGAAGAAGCAGTCTGATGCAATGCACTTCCTTCTCTGGGTGCACTGCTGCAGTACCACCAGCTCTCTGTGCTCTACAAGAACCCATGCCCCACCTGGCCCAATAAAGTGCACAGGCCAGGATACAAGGCCAAGCAAGGTTATGTCATATATAGGATTCATGTGTGCTGTGGTGGCCACAAACACCCTGTTCCTAAGGGTTTGACCTGTGGCAAGCCTGTCCATCATAGTTAGCTCAAGTCTTCAGTCTGTTGCCAAGGAGCAAGCTGGACACCACTGTGGGGCTCTGAGAGTACTGAATTCTTACCAGGTTGGTGAAGATTCCACACACAAATTCTTTGAGATTATCTTCATTAATCCATTCCATAAGGCTATCGGAAGGAATCCTGGCACCCAGTGGATCACCAGACCAGTCCACAAGCATAGGGAGATGTAGGGGCTGACCTCTGCAGGCTCAGGAGCTGTGGCCTTGGAAAAGGGCCACAAGTTCCACCACACTATAGGTTCTCACCATGAAGCATGGAGAAGGCGCAACACTCTCCTGCTCCACCGTTACTGTTAATGCAAGTAATGTTTGTAAAGTTCTTACCTAATAAACAATGTAGGACAGTCAAAAAAATGAGCAAATAAATATGATGATGTCTGATCATGTTAAGTGCTATGAAGAAACTACTACAGGATCAGTATGCTAGTGACTGGAGAATCTACTTTAGATCGGATGGTCAGGAAAAGCCTCTTTGAGGACGTGACACTTGGTAACATGCAAAGAGCTACAGATTGGGATGTCTAGGTAGAGAGCACAGCCCACACAAAGGCCCACGTGCTGAGCAAGCCTGGTAGGTTCAAGGAGCACGCAGAATGCCATTGGCTGTAACTTTGGTGAACAAGAAGGAGCAGATGAAATGAGGTCATCATGGGTGATCTCAGGCTTATCAGATGGATGCATGTGTTCATTTAACAAATATTTATGAAGCGCCTACTACGTCCAGGGCAATGCTGAGCACACAAAAATGAACGGAGAAACCCCTATCTCAAGAATTCTGTGCCCAGGGAAGTACACTGCCAACAACTTTGCCAGGGCTGGACAGTGTCGCTCTGCGGACAGCACCGCGCGCCGGGCAGCACCGGGCTTCCCAGAAGCAACGGTACGGACGCGCCGGTGCACCCACTCCCGCCAGTTTGCAATGTGAAGGGGACACGCTGGGCGTCCGAGGCCACGGTCTGAGGTCCGAGACCCGGCCAGCTTCGCCCCCAGAGTAAGGAGGGTCATTCCAGAGATGAGTAACCGAGCCCCGCTTTACTCAACGGGCGCGCCTTCTCGGTCTCCGTGGGTGGGGGCGGGCCACAGGAATCCCCTGACCCGACCTAAGTCGGCCGCCCTCAGAAACCCAGGCAGGGGAGCCGCGGTGATCAACACCTGATTCACCCAGGCAGTGGGGCAGGGCGGCGACTGCTCGGAACAGCGCCCGCCCCCACCCCGGGTCGCCCCAGGGAACAGGCTCGGGTGACTCTGACCTCCCGGGAGCCGCCCGGAGCCGCCCGCCGCCGGGGAGGGGCACGCGTGCGCGACCCCGACCCCGGCCCCGCCCCGCTCGAGGACGCGCGTGCGCGCGCGGGGCCGCCGGCCGCGGGGAGCGAGGTCCGCGCCCCTCCCCCGCCGGTCGCCCGGAGCCCGACTACAAGTCCCAGGGAGCCGGCGGGGAGGGGCGAGGGCTTCCCTCGGGGCGACGCGGGCCGAGCGAGACCATTTCCCCGCAAGGACACCGCTGCTCCGCCCGGCCGAGCCGGGAAGTCCGGGCCGACGAGCGGAAAGCCCCAGGGTCCGCGGCCGGGAGCCACCCTGTCGCCGGACGTCCCAGATTCTGGTTGTTGTTGTTGTTACTCAGAGCCCGAAATTCCTCCCCAGCGCCTCCTCCCTCCCGCCCCACCTGCTCCCGGCCTCGGGCGGGCACGGCGTCAGGGAGCCTGCGCCCTCAGCGCGCGGGTGCGGGCGCTCGCGTTCGGCCACCATGGGGAATGGGATGAACAAGGTAACGTGTCTTTCCTTCATTTGTGCGGTTTTGCCCCACTTTTCAGCCCTCCGGCTGCGCCTGCGGGGCGCTCGCTCCCACGTGCTGCCGGTGTGGGGGGCGGGGAGGCGGCGCGCGGGGCGGTGCCGGCGGCCTGCGTTGGAGGCGCCGCGGCCCCGCCGCTTCCGGCGCGCGCCCCCCGCCCCCCGCCCGCGGCTGGCGAGCTGCGTGCCCTTTGGGAGCTTGGCAGCGCCCCTGCCGCTCGGCTGAGCTCAGAGCTGCGGTTTCTGCGCACCCCTCGCTGCCAGACCCGTCTCGAAGCGTCACCACCGTGGCGTCAGTTGTCTGGGGTAGATAGGTGTCTTCTGTCTGTTCAGGAACTTCCTTCCCTCCCCAGAATGTTTTTCGTGTGGACAGAATTTGACAGAGACCTTTAAGTCCTGGGGTGTTTTTGAATTACCTGGGCTTGGGGGGGCGGCCGGTGAGAGAGCAGATTCGGGGCTGACTTACGCCGGGATGTGTGGCCCACGCCCCAAGGCCAGCCTGTTGGCCAGCTGCCTGTGCTGATGCGCCTGCTGGAGACTCCGTGCAGCCCGGTCCCTGCCCCTCCCGCTGCCCCGGAGGTCCAGGCCCCGCCCGTCTGCTGGGCTGTGGGTCCTCTGGTACCTTTGCCGCCACTGCAAGGTGCCACCTGCCAGCCCTGGGAGCTGAGAGTTGCCTGGGATGTGTGCGCTCATGTCAGCCACACCGTTAGGGTTTGGGATGTGGTACTGGTTTAAAGGAAAGACTTCCAAAACCTTTTTTCAAGCCCTCAACAAAGACAAGGTCACAGGTCTTTGAAATGGTCCTGGGTCAGAGATTAGCTTCTGGTCATCATCCCTTCCCCCACTGAATTGCACTCACCCACTTCACACACATTCAGCTTTCATATTCGGTGGATTAGCAGTTTCTTTTTAGCTCAGAACTGGGGTCAGCATTGATTTGGTTCTTTTAGCTGGAGTGTCAGAGGTGGGGGAGGGGTATCAGGTGACAAGGTGGGGAAGGAGAAGTGCAGTAGAGGTAGTCCTGTGTACGTACTTAACTCTCTACCTGCCCACATGGTTTCTTGGGTCCTGCAGACCCAGTTTGTGAAAGAACGATTGTGTTTGGGGCCTGCATATCTGAGGGTTTTTGGTAACCAGAATTGTATTCATTGTGTGGGGGGATATTTTTGTTGGGGGGTGTGGGTGATGGGACAGGGATCAAGTTCGGAAGCGGACTACTTGTGTTTTGGATACTACTTGCATTAGGTCCCCATTGGTGCTGGAATCCATCTGCGTCATGAATCTTCTGCTTAAATTAAAACAACAATAAAGTTGATTTCACAAGTTTGTGGGCCCTGTCTGCTTCCCCATTAATTGTGGTCATACCTTAGCTTTCCTTTGGCTCTTTCTACATTTTCTACTTAAATTGTTTACTCTCCAGCTCTTTCAGCATTTAATTTATTACATTTGTATTATCAAAGAACATATTTCAGAATACAAATGATTACCCAACGGTTCAAAGTTAAGTTCAGGCAAAAGCAGTCATATTTATATCATAATTTTACCTTTCAAAGAAAGTAATAAATTTCTTGATGATGCTGTTATTCTTACCATCTTGTATTGTAACTAGAATTAGTGTCGCCAATGTAAAGATGAAGAAACATATATACTGACAGATTTGGAGATGTCCTTAATTCAACAAATATGTATTGTGTCCTTGCTGTTTTATTAAGGTGATGTGCTAGTTGGGCTGGGTGAGAGAATAACAGTAATAATACAGACGAAGATCCTTCACAGACCCTTCAGGATAGACCAGTGACTGCCCAGTACAAATATGTGAGCCAAATATTTAAAATTTTGTAGGAGCCACATTAAAAAAGTAAACAGAAACAGATCAAATTAACTTTAGGAATATGTTTTATTTAACTGAAATGTGTTCAGAATATTGTCGTTTCAACATATAACCAATATATAAAATTATTCATAGAATGATGTAGTTTTTTGTACTAAGTCTTCAAAATCTGGTATACATTTTATACTTAAATTACATCTCATTTGGGATTAGCCACAATTTTAAGTACTCAGCCACTGTGGCTAATACTGTTGTATTACACAATGTGTGTGTGTGTGTGTGAGAGAGAGAGAGAGAGAGGACAAGCAAACAGCATGGGGAGGAGTACAGGTTCCAGAAGATAAGATAGGCAATTTCAGGAGCATAGGGTAAGTAGATGTGATGAAAGAAAGCTTGAAGTGTCTGTCATTCAAGCCAGGCCAAGGATCCTGCTGGGGTAAAGTTGTTTAAGCTGAGATCAGAATGAATTACTCAAAGTTACAAGTAGCAAAGTAGATTACTGGAAGCCAGAAATTAAAAGCCTTAACTAGAATTTATTCATTGCTTACTGTGTGACTTGGAACTAGGCTTCGTATTTTCCCTATCTATATAAAAAAAAGAATGGTTAATTTGCAGAATCAGTGGAATTGTTATAAGGTGCTAACCATACAAATGCTTTTCTAAGAACATTTATAAATAATGTACAATGCCCTTAGAACTAAAAACAACTTGCAGTATGTGTGTCCTGAGGTTACTGAGACAAGATTTTTTTCTAGTCTCAGTCAAGTTGGTCATCCTTGGCAAAAGAAAACTTATGGATTAAACAATGCAGATTCCATTCTGACTGCTTTGAGTATAGCAGTTTTTATTTACATTTCATGCCATCAGCGGGGATCTTATCCGTATGTTCCAGTCTTGTGGGAGAGCACCATGCTCATCTCATTAGGTGTACACAGTGTGTTGCACAGAGAGTGTAAGGGAAAGAGGCTTCTGTGTTCTGGCAAGTGAAGATGACAAGGAAATACCGAAGGAGAACACAGCAGTTGTGATCTCTGATTTTTTGAGCCTCATACCATGTGCCTGCAGTTTGTGAAATCTAAGTCTCTCTATGGCCATAGGAAGTCAAGTCTGCCCTTTTTGTACAGATGGTAATGGAGATTTGGAGAGATTAAGTAGCATGACTAAGGTCCTAATACTAGGAAGCGGCAGAACTGGGTTTGGAACCCAGTTGCCACTGATTTTGAAGAAGTCTTTCCTTTGAGCTAGGATGCCAGTTCATCCCAAGTGAATGGTAAAGATGCTGGAAAATAACTTGTAAAAGCTCCCCAGAGTTCCAAATTAGGAAAGTAGGAAAGCTGCCTCCTTTCCTCACATTGACATTAAGAAAGATGAGGGAAAGACAGGCAACTAAAACTATCATTTTGTTGTTTTTTGTGCCGTTCCCAAATATGTTCTCTTAACTGGCCAAAATTATAATCACTAACAAGCTTATTGTATGCCAGGGCATGTTTTGAGACTAACACAGAACTCCTCTGATCCTCACCATAGCCCTATAGAGTAGGTCCTATTGTTTGTATTTCCTGTTTTACACATGAGGTACACAGAGATTAATCGACTGTCTCAAAGTCACCCATCTAGTGAGTAGCAGAGCCTGGACTCTAAGCCAAATGATCTGGTTCACAGCTGTAACGCAGAGTGTCTCTCTGCTGCTAAAAAGATCAGTCTAGCCCGGCTGATGTGGTTCAGTGATTGAGCGTCTACCCATGCACCAAGAGGTCACCAGTTCGATTCCCAGTCAGGGCACATATCCAGGTCGTGGACCCGATCGCCAGTGGGGAGCATGCAGGAGGCGGCCAATCGATGTTCTCTCTCATTGATGTTTCTCTCTCTCTCTCTCCCTCTCCCTTTTGAATCTCTCTCTAAAATCAATAAAGAAAAAAGAAAAAAAAGATCAGTCTAGTGTCTCTGAGGATTAGAGTTCAACGAAACAGGCTATTCCATGCAAACGTCATGTTTCTGTGGACCCTTTGCAAACTCCTAATTGATTCAAAGTTCTCTCAAGTGTCTGAACCCCTAAATCTTTTGGGGAGGACCTATAAAGAAAACTACTATTCTCTTTGTCATCTTATTAATCTTAAGTAGTACTACAATTCCTCATTAAAAACAAAATTCAGTCTTTCTAGCCAGCATTATGTCAGAGAACTCGGCCCCAAATGCTTCTCTATGTGTTTTATCTTGATCAGCCTGAATTAATGACCTAAACGTGGCTAAAGAGTTATCATTCTAGGGTAGGATATGAGGACCTTCTGGCTCTGAGGTCTTTTCTCCCACTGACTGCAGGGTTGGTCCAGTTTATCCAGCACCCAGCTGCCCAGTCTGGTGGCCTATTCCTTCCTTCCTGCTCTGTGTCCTCCGAAAGCAGCCTTCTTGGTGGAAAAGGATACTGTTCCAGTATTTCATGGGAAAATTGTTCATGGTAATGGGAGGCAGACACTCCAATTAGTGCGTCACTTTTCTATGAGAAGCCCACTATTATGAAAGAAAGAAGGACAGGGCCTCAGAAAGCCCACTTTGGAGTGTCTCTACCACTCTGCTGCCTCATGCTGTGATCTTGAAGTCACTTAAGGTTTCTGAGCTTCCATTTCTTTATCTCCCTCAATTTATAGGGATGGTGGGTAGTTTACCTAGTCTCCTTATTTGCTCAAAAATTCATTTAATGATACTTCTCCCAGCTTCTACTCAGATTCTTGAGAGAAGCAAATGAGAATTTATTACAAGACATTTGGACAAACTGTAAAGTACAAATCTGCACTTGGATTTGGAGCATCAATAGTTGTCGCGATGGCATCTGCCTTAGACATAGTTGACACCTGTTTTAGGATGGTTCTTTTCTCCTTAGGAAGATAAGGGAGTATAGTTGCAAAAGGAGTATAGCTCAAGGGGAAAAGAGCAAGGGGGATGTGCCCCCTAGGCATAGACCAGGGTTTCTCAGCCTCTGCAGTATTGGGAGTTTGAGCTGCATCATTCTTTGTTGTGGGGATTGTCCTGTGCATTGTAGGAGGTTTAGCAATATCCCAGGCTTCCGCCCACTAGATGCCAGTAGTCGCCTACACCATATGACAACCAAAAATGTGTCCAGGTATTATTGCTAGATGTCCCCTGGAGGGCAAGATCTTCCCCCATTGAGAATCACAGCTTAGGGTTCTTCACTCAGAACCTCCCGAGGCCTGTGTGATCTGGAACTGAATCATTCTTAAAAGACGGAAGAGGGCCTAAGAGGTTGAGAAGCACTGGTTTAGTCTGGGAAGGAGCTGGAAGGTCTGACATCTTTGTGCTGTTAGATGCTGCTGTTTCCAGTGGTGGCACCTGCTTTTGTAATTCATTCAGTTGTCCATTTACCCATTCATGAGATGATGTTATTGGATACCTGCTATTGTCCAGGCACTATGCCAGACCTTGTATTGGGAAATAAACATGAAACACAAGAAGATCCTGCCACCCAAATTGGGCCGAGGCAGCTTACAGAGGCATCTCTCTGTGGAAGGTGAGTGTGCTGTGAGTGGCACACCTGTACAATTGTGTCTGTGGGGCTGATGGACAAATGGTGCCTTGATGGTGGTCTGTCTGTCCTCTCTACTCCACCCAATGGGTATTTTCTCTTTTCAACGTTGCAGTTTTATTTCATATTGAAGGAACAGATGCTTAAGGCATATAAGTGCACACAAAAGTATTCAGATTCTTTCTTTTATAAGTGAAAACTGATTAAGCCCATAGCCAAATGGCATTAAAAAAATCTGTGACATTTAACCCTTCAGGAATCTCCCAAAGTTCTCCTTCTCGTGCCTGGCTTTAAAATTCAGAAAGTGCTTTCTGACCTAGGGAGAATTACAAGCCCTCCCACCTCCATTACCTTGTACTACTGCTTGATCAGGAATTTTCTCCCTTACATCTGTTTGAGTGGTGGTCTTAGATTCCATGACATCCTGAAATAGTAAAACACACTAAGAAATGTTTTAAAAGTAAACTCAAAATAGTTCTGCCTTGGAAGCAGTATCCTTTTGCGCTTAAGATCTTTTTTGTGGCTAAGGATTTGCTTTCATGTGTTTCTGTACGACCAGCGTTGGAAGTGTGGATGTGAACGACATTGAGCAAGAGGAGCCACCGGCTACAGAAAGTTCTTAGCGTGGTCTCAGAGCCTTACAGCAGAAGGGATCTACCTTTCATTATCTATCTCCAGATAGTCTTTCAACAGAAAATAACAATCTTTTTTGACCAGCAGTGTCTCTCAGAGAGCATCTTTCTTCAGTGATTATTTCTTCATGTGCCAGACTCCGTGGCAGGCTTTGGGGACACAGCAGGGCACAAGACAAACATGTCCTCTGCTTCAAAGTTAATAAAAAAGTAAGCAAGTACAAGAATTTTAGGCACTGATAAATGCGATGAAGAAAATAAAGTAGGGTGATGTGATCGAGGGTGTTGGGGAGTTGGGCCGTGAGGAAAGACCTCTCTAGGAGCTGTCACCTCCTGGGAGACCTACCTGACAGGAGCCACCTGGGAGAACGGGGGGGGGGGACCCTTCAGAGAGGAAGAGCACCACTGCTTCTAAGGCCCAAAGTGATTAGGACCAATTCTGAACTTGTTCTTTTAGAGTCACAGAACGTTCCCCAAGTTGTATTTATGCACTTGGATCTGGCCTTCCTTCCTACCAGATGTGAACTCACTGGTCAGCCGTGTCGTTCCAGATGAATACTCACCTCTTTCCTGGTCTCCTCTCTCTGCTGGAAGAGTATTTCGTTTCATTTTCTTTTCTTTTCTGTATTTAGGGATTACTAGCAACAACAATATTGGGGAAGTAGGGTCAAATTTTTTGAGTTTTAAGTTTGAATTACAAAGCTGATTGGTGTAGAAATTTAAATATGCATGGGCTTTTTATTCTTGAAAACAAAAATGTGATTTTTCTCCCTGCCAATGGTCAGTCCTCCAGTTTTCTTTGTTATTATTTTGTAATTTTATGTAGCAGAAAAATTCAGAAACTGAGATTGAGCAATTTGCTTTTTGTTTCAGCCCTTGAAACTCAAGCTTATTCGTCTGGTCTGGAAAATGGAGTTACAAGCTTACTGACACAACTCTGTCCCCTCCTTATATTACTTAAAAATATTTTAACTGCATACACAATGTGCATCTTAAATGACTTTTAGCAAGTTGGATCCAAGCCTTTGCCCAGGGCTTGGCCCAGGATCTGAGGGTGCACCTGTGAGTGACAGGATGCATTTGCTGCCCAGAGAGTTTTTCAGTCCAGCAGAGAACACAGCCCTTCACCCAGCAATGCCCCGTGACAGCGTCACTGCAAGGGGAGCACAGCAGACTGGGCACCGAAGCAGGGGGTCTAACTCAGACTCAGAGATCAGGGCAGGCCTCCTTTGGGCAGGGGTCAGAGCTACCTAACAGTGGGAATAGTACATACAGGGGCCTCAGACAGCAGAGGGTGGGTTTGCTGGAGCTATGAGAGAAGCCTGGGGTGTGCAGGAGGTATGTAGGTTGTGGAGGGGTAGGGTGTAGTGAGAAAAGGAGTTGTGGGGCATCCTCATCTTTCAAGCTCCGTGAGTTGATGAGTACCAGCATGCCACCACCTGCAGGTTACTTGGGCAGGCCAGGGCCTTGGAGACAGGGATGCGCAGTTATGCATGCTGTCCATCTGGGGAGGTGCTGGGAGAGGATGCAGCAGGGGACAAGCCTGAGTGGTGCTCCAGGGCCTTTGTGCAAAGCACTGTCAGTTTCAGGTCGTGACACTCACATCTGGCCTGTGTCTCTCCCCTAGATCCTGCCTGGTCTGTATATTGGCAACTTCAAAGGTAAGTTCTCCTTCTTTTTTTATTATTGTGGTAAGATGTGTATAATATAAAATATGTCATTTTAACTGTTTTTAAGTGAACTACATTTACATTGCTGTGTAATCATCACCACCAATTCATCTCCAGAATTTTTTTTATCTTCCCCAACTAAAAGTTAGTACTAATGATAGTACCCATTTGATACTACCTCCTCATCTACCCCCAGCCCCTGGCACCCACCATTCTACTTCTGTCTCCATGAATCTGACTATTCTTGGAGCCTCATATAAGTGGAATCATGCAGTATTTGTCCTTTTGTCTGGTTGATTTCACTTGGCATAATGTCCTCAAGGTTCATTCATCTTGTAGCATGTATCAGAATTCCCTTCCTTCTTAAAACTGAATAACATTTTATTATATATATATGTATATATCTGTGTGTGTGTGTGTATATACACACACATACACCATGTTTTGTTTATTCATTTACTGTTGATGGACATTTGGGTTGCTTCCACTCAAAGGTAAGTTTACTTTTTAAAAGACCGGCTTTAGCCTTCTCACACATGATTGAGCCAAGATGTAAACTCAGTTTACTCAAAGTCTGGCCTGGACATGGCTACCACCGTGCTGTGCCCAGGCCCCTTGCTGGACGCTCATTCTCATCCCGGACCCCTGTGGCCAGTGCTGACTGAGTGGTGTGGACCTTGCAGGCTCCACTCCGACCTCTGGTCTTCCTCTTAGTTCTGCACTCATGTTGATCATGATCTGAAGCAGATGGCTGGAAGACATTTCATAGCCATGTGATTTGTTTATCATCTTTTACCACTTTTTCTAGTTATTATTAATATATTTTCAGAAACCTATTTTTTTTAATCACCTGGGAAAAATAAGAGGCAATTTTATCTTTAGCAGATTATTCTCGTCTTGTGTTGACTTTTCTTTTTACACATTTCTCTGCATCTTACTCAGTATGTATTTATTGAGTTGCTGTCAGCTAAAGACTTATTTATTTTTTATCTGTCTCAAAATGCTCTGTGGTCACAGAGGTGAGGAGAGACCCATGGAGCAAAGTGCATGGTGGCAAACAGCTTTTGATTTCCAGGGGGTGGGGGCAGGTCCCCACGCTGGGTGACACTTTGAGTGCATTTAAGTGAAAACACCGGTGGTGCCCTAGCACGGAGACAGAGTGCACTTGACAGGAAGGAATGCACCGGGGAAACTTGCAGATACAAGTCAGCCTTGTTGGGTTGAGAGAGCCCAAGCTCATCACCAACATCTGAAACTCTTCCCTCCTCGAACAAGCCAGAACACACTGCTTGCTGTCTGATTTCTGGTTGTTGCCTAACTTTGTGAGCTCAGAATCAAATCGATTCTAAACACAACCTTTATGATTTCTATGCATAATGTTTATTCCCTCGTTTTCCCCAGCAGGCTGCAGCACTGCTAGTAGGCCCCAAAGAGAATTAAGCACAGGTTGCTGACATCTGGCTGCTAATTGCTACTAGAATGTGTTAAAAATAGTTCTGGAGTTCCTAAATCTGTAAGTGTGTAGTTCTGAAAAGCATCAAGTGCTGTGTGGTAGGTTAAAGAGCAAATGTCTTTAGGGGTTTATTTAGTGAGCTATTATTAACCGCTTTCATGGGGAGAAGGAAATGTCTGTGTGTTGGAAATAGAGTTTAGGATAAATTCTTAGAAGTAGAACTACTAGGTGAGTGTTTACCAAGTAAAAATTGTAATTAATACTAATCAAATTAAATACTTCTGCCAATTGTGAGAGTTTTATCCTTACACATAGATGGTTACTTTCTTATAGAGGGGCATTCTGCACAATTTTATAGGAAATATTTAACACTCTCTTGGTACTAACATCCATGCCACAGGAACCCCCACAGTTCCAGGATTCTCACTGTATAGGTTGGAGAGTGCTCCAGCTGCCCACACCTGTCTCTCTCCAGGCGGTTGACGTTCTGCCGTCGCCTCAGTCATTATGACATTTGTATGTGGCTGTGTTTTATTCACATGTCAATTCACCAAGTATTTCTTCAATATGTATCAAGTCTCAGTCTTATCTACACAAGACATTGGGAGGAAATGCTGTGTCCATGTAGTTGGCTGTGAATTAGCTCATTTGTTCCACAGACTTGTTGCAAGCGCCCAGTGTGCAGAGCACTGTGAGGAGTCTGATGTGGACACGCGTCCCGGTCCTCGGTGGTTCAGGGTCATGGGGAGCAGGTTCTGAAGAGTAGAGAGAAGCTGTGGGGTGGGCTTGTCTTGGAATTCAGTTACCCTACAGCCCACAAGCCAGATGTTCCCCCTCAACACTTCAAGCATCCTCTGTATGTGTGGGGATGAGAACATCGCCTTGGGGCTGTGGTGAGGGCTGAGCCCGGCAGTGCAGCTGAAGCAGGCACTTTGTGCCTGGCACACGGCAGTTCGTTCACGCAGGGCCAGGCCCTCCTCACCCTGCCTGTCTGCGAAATGGAAACCATCCGCCTCCTTTGGGCAGGTGTGCAGTAGGTGCTGATGAGCATTAGACAGCAAGTGCAGACCCCCAGGGAAACGGATCGTGACTTCTCGGAAGTGAGTCCAGCTGTCCTCTGTACTTTAACATGACATCTCAGTTAGTCACATCTTCTCTTTTTTTTTTTTTAATCCTCACCCGAGGATATTTTTCCATTTTTTGTACAGATAGAGTGGGAGGGAGAGAGAGGAAGGGAGAGAGAGTGAGAAACATCGACGTGAAGGGACACATCGAGTGGCTGCCACCCGCACGACCAACCAGGGCCGGGGACAAACTGCAACCGAAGTACGTGCCCTTAGCGGGAACCGAACCCGGGTCTCTCCGTACCACAGGCCAACGCTCTAACCGCTGAGCCAAACTGGCCAGGGCCACATCTTCTCTTTTTAAGTTACACATCACAACCACCAGTATAGAAATGTTTAAAGAAAAATTAATGGGGTTTTTTACTTGCTGAGAGATCTTCATCTTTCAGTGTGGATCAGCCCTGCTCCCCAGGCCTTGATCCTAGCAGCCGCGTCCCCTCCGTCCAGTCGGCGAGAGCTCTCTGGACGCCTCTCCCCCCCCTCCCCTCTTTCCATTGGAGTCCTTTACATGTCACTCCGCAACTTCCTTTCTTTTCTTTTTAACTTCGTAGTGAATCACAAAGAGTTTTCCCACACCTGGTGATTTTTCCACCTAGAGAAAAATCCACAGACAAACCCGGCTTCTGGATCCCCCTCTTTGATGAGAGCCTCTCATTTGAGATGCCTGTAACTGGCAGCTGGCTCTGCCCAGACACAGGGAGGCCGGGAATGGAAACCCAACGGTCAGCTCCTCCCTGGGTCAGGAGGGTGGGGTTAGGTGCCTCTTCACAGCTTAGCAAGTGTCAGGTGCATGGCAGCAGACACAGGAAGCCCTCGTTGTTTGAGGATGTCCACCAAAGTCTAGAAGAGTGGAAACAAGCTCCGGCTTTGTGTGCAGGTGATGTATGTAAGGACACGTTTAAGGTCTCAGAGCTTTAGTTCAGTGAGAACAACTGTGGTTCCCAGTTTTTCAGATGAGGCTGAGATGGGGAGCTACTGAATGTTGATCTGCCGGGGTGCTGTTAGCTTAGCCTGGGAGATCTGGGTGTTGAGGTGGAGTTTCAGGGGTGCAGTGAGAGCTGGGAATCAGATGTCTTTGAAGTAAGCATGTATTGGGAAACATTCAGCTGTGATGGAGACTGAGGCCCATACCACAGCCTTGGGACTCAATCTGGTCATGATGATAATGGTGCTACAGTAACATTTACTACAAGCCAGCCAGACACCGTTCTGAGCATTTGGTTTCATTTAGTACTTCCAGCAACCCTTTGAGGTGCCGCTCTTACCATTTCCCCACTTTGTGGGTGAGAAAGTGAAACACAGAAAAACTTGCCCAAGCTTAGGACCAATAAATATCAAAGCCAGGATTTGATAAAGAAGGGAAAAGGTAGGACCTGCCCCATTTTGTCCTCCATCCCAGGTTGGAGATGTATCCACTTAAAGGCTAAACCTACTAATTTATAACTAGAATTTATTACAGTGCATTGTATTGTATAACTCTAGAAGTCATTACATTTTGCAGTGGGAAGTATAACTAGAAAACAGGTTGGAATCTCTTGTCCATCTCTCAGCAGATTCTCAGCTTGGGAGGCAAAAGTTGTTTTGGAAATGACTCTAAACATGGCTTGGGCTTCAGTGTCAGAGCAGAGGAAATTGGGTCTCTTTCAAACAGAGACCTTCCTTCTCCCCTCCCCTCCCTCATCCTCCTGGCCATCCTATGAGTCCACAAACAGTGCAGCAATGGCTTTGAGTATTGGAAAGGCATTGTCAAAGAATTTGCTCCTGCCAAATGCATGTTTTTCTTGAACACTTGTGTTGATACTGTTAATTTCTAATGCTGCTTTCTATATGTTTTTGTTAATTTATTCAGAGAAAATTCTGCTAGACTACCTTATTTCCCATGGCTACTCTGGCACTTCCCACATCGTGGACTGGTTACCCTTGTCCATTTTCTGCACGAGCATAGAGTGCTAACTCTCCTTCCGAAGGAAGCATGTGGCTGTCACTTTGCCCTTTAGGACAGCCTCTTACAGGAACCCACCTGCTAACCTCAGTGAGGTCTGCCCAGTAATGGGTGGGGTCGTCCTCTCAGCGACGCAGGGGACATTCAATAGCAAAGAAAAGGATCTGTTGGTGTTTCTATTTTAGTGCTCCCACTGTGTGAAGGCGACATTTTCCTCTTCAGAAGTTCACTAAAGCAGACTAGGGGCAGGGGTGTCAGAGATGGGGAGGGTGAAGGGAGAGAGACGACGAGAGTCCAGGGACCAAGGGAGATGTTGGCGGAGAGGAAAAGAACATGGTTAGCTGTTTTGACCAGTAAGGGGCTGTCTGTTCGTTGTACTTAATGCAATTTCTATTGAATTTTGTGAACAGTATTTTTAAACTTTTATTTTTCCTCATTATAAAAGAAATGTGAACTCAGCAGTTAAAATTTAAAATTTGAAAATCCAAACATGAGCCCTGGCCGAGTTGCTCAGTTGGTTAGAGTGTCCTCCCAATATGCCAATGTTGTGGGCTTGATCCCCCATCAGGCACATAGAAGAAGCAACCAATGAATGCATAAATAAGTATAACAACAAATCAGTCTCTCTCCCTCCCTCCCTCCCCTTCTCTCTCCCTCTCTCCTTCCCCCTTCCCCCCTCTTTCTTTCAAATCAATAAAATAGAAATAGAAAATTAAATTAAAATTAAAATCCAGCCCTGGCCAGTTTGGCTCAGCGGTTAGAGCGTCGGCCTGCGGTCCTGAGAGACCCGGGTTCGGTTCCCGCTAAGGGCGCGTGCTTCGGTTGCAGTTTGTCCCCTGCCCTGGTTGGTCGTGCGGGTGGCAGCCACTCGATGTGTCCCTTCGCGTCGATGTTTCTCTCTCTCTCTCCTTTCCTCTCTCTCTCCCTCCCACTCTATCTGTACAAAAAATGGAAAAATATCCTCGGGCGAGGATTAAAAAAAAAAAAAAAAAAAAATTAAAATCCAAACATGGAAACATATTAGAGTGAAAAATTCCCAAAACCTCATATCCTAAGATAGCCATAGTCAGCACATTTTTCTCTAGATTTTTTCCCCATTTGAATTCTAACCTGTAGTCTTCGTGTTGATTTTATTAATACTGACTTGTGTTTGGGATGGCAAGTGGCTGTGCATTGTTCTCTAGCTAGAAATGGCACGGGCACACTGTGGTGGGCCGGGCACCGTGTTCAGTGCACACAACCTTCCAGGGTTCTCCCTGCAGCGTGGGCTGTGACGACGTGGTGTGCAGTGGGCCTGGGCGTCTGCACCTTCAGCATGCTTCCAGCCGGTGCCCTGCTTCTGCTTGACAGGCTGGGTTTGAGCAGCACAGAGCTGAGGGCTGCGCCTGTGGTCCTGTGCTCCGAGAGAGCCAGGGTGACACTTGCAGGCGTATGCCTGTGCCGTCCAGAGCTGATGACACCATGGCCAGACTCTCCCAGCTGCATCCACAGCTCGTTCCCATGGTGGTAGGCAGACGCCTCGAACCACCTGTGATGTGGAGTCCTGAAGAACAGAAGGTCCAGTGTCATCCAGTAGCTTTGATGCAGCATGTTATGTGCTCTCAAATAGGCGGACAGAGTCTGTGCTTATGGGAAAGGGTAACCCGAAGGTAGTGTATCAGTGCAGACGGCACTATACAGAAACGGAAAGGAGCACAGAGCACAACTACCAGGAATACCATTTTCTTTGGAGTCCAACAGTCAGTTATCTCGTGTGGTACTGAGCGGTCTCTGTATGCACAAGTGTATAACCTTAGTCCCAAACCACGATTCTCGTTGTTTACCTTGTTGTATTACAAAAGTGTATTTATGGGGCGATGGAAATGTTCTAAGGTTAAATTGTGGTGATAGTTAAACAACTCTGACTATGGTAAAAACCTTGAATTGTATTTTTTAAAAGGGTGAATTTTATAGCATACGAATTATCCCAATAAAGCTGTTTTTTAAAAAAGAAAAAAGTATATTTAGACAAATGTTGACCGTCAAAATTCAAATCCTGGCAGGGTGAGAGTCTGGAAGCTCCTGTCCTCGAGGGTCCCACGCTTGCTTTAGAGAGCCCCGTGCCGCTCCGTCCCCCGCCCCGCCCTGTCTCCTGGACGCCGGAAGCTCCAGCTTGCCCTTGTTTCCTTGGGGATCCGCGTGTGCACTGGCAGTGGCTGGAAAATCACATTTTGGTGACAGTGTGGAGGCTGGCTGCCTGTGGGGTCCTCCATGAATGCAGTCCTGCCTCATTCAGAGCTCATGACGCTGCAGCTGGTGGCAGCTGGTGGCGTGGCTGGGAAGAGCCCGTGTGGGGGGCAGACGACTGCTGTGACGTGGACGTGGAGATGGTGGAGCAAGGAAGGCAGCCTTAAAACCAGCATTTTAATTCTACTTTCACAAATGTGTTTCTTCCTTTTAGAGTGGAGCATGCTTATTGCAGAATAGTCACAACAGTGTTCTTAGGTTTTGCTCAGTCATCAAGGCTTATTAGAAATGCATATTCCTCAGCCCTGTAATAGACCTTAAACTAAGTGGGAGCCCAGGAATCTGCCTTCTTAACAAGCCCCTCAGATAGTTCATAAGCATGTTAAACTTTTAGAATCATTCATACTGAATATACACAAAAATATATTTAAAAAAAGAAAAAAACAGAAAACAGTTGTAATTTCCTCTCTTAGAGATGATGACTTTGGGGGCTAATTCCTGATAGCAGTTTTACCCCCCTGTGTGTGTGTGTGTATCAGTCTTTATGTGTTTTTACAAATTGTATTTTATTGTATTTATAGTTGTGTATCTGTTTTACCCTCTGCTTAACATTATATCCTGAGCATTTTCCCATGTCATGAAATACTCTCCAGAAACATGCCAATTAAACAGTTGACTTTTGGTCCATTTTACCCTTGTTTCTTGCTGGACCCTGTTTTGTAAATTAGCAGATGGGTTCCAACATGGGGAGAGTCATTCGTTCTTTCTTCTTCAGGTGGGTACATTGGAAAGGAATATAATTTGTGTGTCTCTTTAGTTTCATATGCAGGTCATTTAATAGCCAACTCATAATATAAGGACAAGTTTGGAATTTGTAGAAAATGCTCCATTTTTGCGATTGCTCTAAAGTGAATATGTGTAAAACCCAGTCATGCCTGCATACCTGGCCGGTCCCTGCCCTAGACAGCAGGTAGCGCCGTCTCTGGCAGGTTCTTATTTCTTACACAGTAAGTGGGTTTTTTTGCTTAATTTTAACTTAGATTATTAATCATTAAGAGGTCATTTTTAATGTATTTTAAACATCTTTATTGTTATATGTTTTATTGTGTCTACAATTTAACAAATGTCAGCTACAAAATGATCTCATAGGTTTACTTCCTTCAAACAGCAGTAATCATGATTGCAGTGTTTATCAAGCCAAATACCTTTCAAGCTTTAGATCACTACTTTGTATCAAAAGATATGCCAATTAGAAATAAACTTAGTGACCTGCAAAATACATAAAAGAGGTAGCCCTAAATTCCATACATCTTGATTATTCTGGGTATGGTCAATTACGAAGTTTTAAAAAATAAATGTGAGAGTCATTCTGTGTGTGTTTTTTCCGGCCAGACTCCAGGAGCAGTCACGTCCCGAGTGTATTAACATGTTCACCTCTTTCTGCGGCAGATGCCAGGGATGCAGAGCAGTTGAGCAGGAACAAGGTGACCCATGTTCTGTCTGTCCACGATAGCGCCAGGCCCGTGTTGGAGGTAAGAGCGTGTGTGGGCGTGACGGTGAGCAGTGTGCTCGTGTGACTGTTGGCTGCGCTCACTCGGTGCTCAGGCCAGGCCGTCCGTGCTGTCCGTGGGGGTGGGGGGTGGGGGGTGTTTTCTGCTCGTGCTCCTGCTGCGCTGCCGGCCTGGCTTTCTTGACCGTATGCCAGAGAATAAGCTGACCTGCACTGATTTCCCTCTGGATTTTAAGGACATGTCAAACCCATTGCATTCCTTTCACAATTATCTCTGGGTTTAGAATCCAAAAGAATCCAGGCTGCTCATTTTCTGATTTTTTTTTTTTCATTTCAATTTGGAAGTAAGAGAGTGGGAGACCAGCTGTCCCTGGAGACTTCCCACGGCTCTTCTGGCTCAGAGACTGTCAGTGTAGGAGTGGGTGTGCTTCCAGTTTTCGAGTCAACAGGTGTGTCTGCCTGTACCCTAGTTCCCAACCATCTCCATGGTTACTGCTGTTCATGGACTGTTGAAGTTAGGAGCCAATCGCTGTCTGTTCTTCAGCCTTGGCAGAGCCCACATTTCCTCTTCTTAGGGAAGAATGGGTGTGTGGCTGCCATGTGTATTGTGTTTTTCTGTTGTAAGGTGGGGAGGGCCCTAATAAGAGTGGAGGGGGCCCTGGCCGGTTTGTCTCAGTGGTTAGAGTGTCGGTCCACAGACCAAAGAGTCCCGGGTTCGATTCCTGCCAAGGGCACACCTTGGTTGCAGTTCATCCCCGGCCCCAGTTGGGGTTGTGCAGGAGGCAGCCGATCCATGTGTCTCTCTCACATCGATGTTTCTCTCTCTCTCTCTCTCTCTTTCTCTCTCTCTCCCTCCTCCCTCCCTCCCTCCTTCCCTCCCTCGACCCCTCCCTCCCTCCCTCTCCATCTGAAGATAAATGTAAAAATATCCTTGAGTGAGGATAAAAAAAAGTGGAGGGGGAAGGAATGAGAGAAGAGAGCTAGGACCTGCTTCAGTGTCTAAGAGCTTCAAAGCCATGTAAGTTTAGCTTATGACCCCTGACGTACTCTGGGTAGCCCTGGTCTGGTGTGGGGCTGGAAGAGGGGGTAGTTACTGTCCGAGACGGGACGGCTCCAGCCTGCACTTCTGTGCGGGAGTGCCGTGAGTTCGCTGCCATGCCGCCGAGGGTTGGGCCGTGCACTGTGGCTGCTGCTTTGGATCATTTCCAACAAACATCTGAATGGATTTAAAAGTGCTGGGTGCTCAGCATTGGTTGGCAAGGGATTTGGGAATCTAGGTCCATTTGTGATGTGAGCTCAGTGAGAGAGGCGCAGTCATATTGTCCGGTGTGGCTTCTAAAACAGGTCAGTGGTCAGGGACTTACTGAGGATTCTCAGAAGACAGACTGTCAGACAGTAGGCCTGGAATATGATGCTTTGCAAAAACGAAATAAGTTTAGGGGATGTAACACCCCTCTGGAAGATTCACAGTTGTGTTGACAGAATACAGGTTCTCGGGTCCTGCGTTGAAGACACACACTTTCCAGTCTCTCTGAGCAGGGACCCAGTTTGCACGCGTGCCTGCTTGTGTGACACTTCACCTAACAACATCTGGGGAACCGTGTTCTGCTGAATGTAGTCTTGGACGTCCAGATGAAGGAGGACTCTGGCCCGCTGCCCCTCAGAGTCTGGATGAGTCTCCTGGGCTGGGCTCGTCCAGAGGAGGGCTCATACACCTGACAAGCCGGCGGGCTGGGGTCCAGGAGACGATGGCAAACCTGATCTTGTTACCAGCTGAGGCTGCCTGAGGATGGATTTTGGTGACATCGCAGGATAGGTAGGACAGGCAGAATGGAAGGTGTTTTGTGCCTGGTACGTCCCCTTAGGTGTAATCTCTTGCAATACCTGGTCAATGCTGATACTGTAAAGCACACTTACCATGAAAGTCCTCATGAATGTGCTGAAGACATCTTTAGTTATTACGCATTTATTGATTTTATTTAGGAAAGACTTTAAGGAACTTGGTTGACTTTAGTTAGATTGGATCTGATTTTCTATTATTTGGGTAATTTTTTGGAGGGGTTTTCCAACATGGCATTAGCAGGGTCTCACACTCTGCTAGCCACCTGGCAGGAAGAAGAAAATGAAGGACACTGGTCGGGCCTCGCGAGGGACTGGCGGGCCTCTGGGCAGCAAGTGGGGCAGTGGGCTCCGATTCCGTGATGGGTGAGACCCGACCGCTCCCTCCTCTGAACCAGGAAGCAAGGAGCTTGGCCAAGGGAGAGGCCTGAGGCCCGTCAGCGTCTCTTCCAGCGAGCGTGAGGGGGCTTCCAGGACGGGGCCCGGAAGCCTGGGCACCTGCACCCCCCTCGAGGCAGCCCTACGCTGCACGAGAGTCTGCGGAGCTCTGACTCCATTTTCCTGCCAGAGAGGTGACCTCCGTGCCCATCCCTGGGTACACGAGGAAGCTGGGGTTCAGAGACGTGAGGGGACTGGCCCCGACCCTGCAGCTGACGTGTGTCTGTGGAAACCTGGGTCTCCTCTCGCAGGCCCGAGGTTCCCGGAGCCCGCCGCCTCGGCCTCGCACAGCCTGGCGGGGCCCCGGTTCCTGGCAGCATCCGTAGGTATTGCCACGTCCGCTTTGGGCAGGGCTGTACCCTCCGTGCCTGAGAGCAGGGTGTGCAAGTGCACATTTCCCAGACCATCACTACCACAGTGTTATTCCTCTTTACTTTTTATTAGCAACATTTTTGTTTTGTTTTATTGCCTCAAGTGCCTTCCTCACACTGTGGAGTCTCTTGTCCCTTTGAAGGCAGGGGGTTGATGGTTTATTCGTTTCTTGAGCTCCTCCTACATGCCAGGCCTCAGGGTAGGTGCTGGAGATAACAGAAGTAAATCTCAATATCTGCCCTGGCCAAGCCTTTAGTGTATAAACAAGGTACGTATTAGGGTTATTTTGTAAAATTAATAATATTCACAGTCAGTGGGAAACAAAAGCTCTGGCTCTGGCCCCCTTGGTGCTGGCAGTCAGTAGGAGCAGAGGCTGCAGAACTCCGAGGATGAGGTCTCTCCCGCCTGCGAGGCTGGGGCGTGGGCAGTCACTAGGCATTTGACTGGGTCTTTGGAAATCTGGTTGGTGGCATTCCAGCCAGGAGAGGCTGGCAGAGTGGCACCCTGACACCGCCGGCCACGCCCGCCGTGTCCTCTCCCCGGGACGGGTGAGCCAGCAAGGCGTTGTCCCTGTTCCTTTACAGCATAGTTAGGCTACAGCTGGCTCACATCACCTGCTGGCAGGTGGCAGAGCCAGGAGGGAAGAAGCCATTGCCACACACACGATTTCAACAGGAATGAAGCCCAGCCCTGTAGTGATAACATGCAAGTGGGGAAGCCCCTTCATCTCGTTGCATCCTTGGGACTTGGTTGGGAAGTCACTTGCATTTGGTGGAAAGTGTTTTCTGATTTGTGAGCTGTGTCTTTAGCCCCTACTGATGACTTCAGATTTGAGAGAAAAACTGTCACAAAGACGGTGCTTTTCAAATCAGAAACCTCGTATTGTTTGTAGGTGCTGAGGAAGTAATATTAAGTAATGAAAGGTTTCTCCCTTCCCCTGAAACAAGAAACAGAACTCTGTCTTTCTAATGTAAAAAATTTCAGAGTTTGTTTCATTTTTCATTCTGGGTATTTAACCAAAACACCTGCAGGAAACAAATCTATTTTTCACTAATAACAAAAATGCTTTTAAAACTATTCTCATTCCTTCATTGGGCTAATAACCCAAAGAATTTTAATTTTAAATGTGTATATTTTAGGATTAAATAGAAAAAATAGTTTGGTAACAACATTTCCCGTGCATTCATGTGTGAAATCATTTAGCCCCATATATTTAAACCAGAACATTGTATGAGTACCAGATAGATTTCTTGAGCTTGAATTCAGCTTGGATATTCTTTCCATTTTAAGTTATGACTTTTATATTTTGAACCATGTAGGTTTCAGTTTTTTTATTATTTTTAAAGAATAAGATGTTTTCATGGGCAAGGCATTTATTCTTGGTGATTCTTTTTTGAGGTGTCCAGACTTAAAATTTAATTTTGTTAGTTTTGGTTATAGTTGGCCCAATCTCCTAGTTTTGATATTTACTGTTACCCATGTGTCTGTACTACTGTTTTCTTTGATCCATTTATTTATGAGGAAACTCACCAAGGTCGTATGTTCAGTCTGCTCAGATGGTGGTGCCGAGAGGCTGGGGGCTCCTGGAAGGGTCCCGTTCCCCTGCTGCGTGTCTGCTTGGTGACCAGCCCCATCTCTCTCCCTCAGAGGTATCGTTGGGTTCCCAGATGGGAAACAAACCCAGTTTGCATGGCATTTAGAGTGTAAGAAACTATGCTTCTTCCTGCACCTTTTCTCCCGTCCTTGTCTTGCTCGCCTGCGCCCAGAGCTCAGCCCAGCTCTCCTTCTGCGCAGGACACTCCCAGTGCCCTCCAACCTCAGGCTTCTTCCCTTTTCTACAGTCTTTGTGTCTGTGCTCTTGGTTGGGTTGTGAATTGCATATGCTCTGTGGCAGCTTCTTTAGCATGTCAGATGGCTACTTACCCTCTGTTGCTGATCCAGCTCTTCAGGGCCTCTGCCCAGGCTCTGAGCAGGTCCCAGGCCCGCGGCAGCAGGTGCCACACTGGATATCTTAGTTCTCCTCCAGCACTCAGCCTGCCTGCCCCCTGGGAGCCCCTTTTCAGACGCTGGAGTGAGAGCCACGTGCCGCTCAGCTCCACTCCACAGTGAGAAACGTGTCCTCGGCGAGTGGTGGTCGTTAGGGTGGGAGTGAGGGCTGGGGAAGGAGCTGGGCGAGAAGGATTTGTTCATCACAAGTGATCTGTGAAGCCAGAGGGTCTGGTGACGTCGGGGCAGCTCCATGTGCGCAGGTTGTTTGTGTAGTTCCTCACTTGTAAGCATTGGCAGGTGTAGAAGTCCTGTGTTATAGAGCTGTTGTGGCCTGTGGTTCAGGATTCCCTCTCCCTAAATTACTACAGTCGAGAAGCCCCTGTG